CTATAGCATGACACCTCGTGCGGACGTGCTCACCGAACTCGAACTGTCACCGGTAAAACATGTTACATCGGCTTTGGGGCAGCGAGCATAGGTAAAAGGCATGGGCAAGGCCATGTTCAGGGGTGCTGATGGGAAGGTGGTGCGCCTCAAGAACGTGCTTTGGGTGCCCAACCTCGTATGTATTATATTATGATCACCTGGGTACAAACACGAGGCTATATGTAGGCTCGACACAAAGGCAGTAACCCGGGTGTTGCTAGAAGGTTCCGCGGGTCGCGCAGTTTCCCAAACGGGTCCTTCCCGAATTCAATAGAAGGCAATTCGGTGGCAACCGAAAAGCACAGAATTTGGTGCACACTAACTATTTGGTGCATGTAACTATAAAAAATTTGGTTTAAGCAACGAATATAAGGAATCAAGCAACAGCAAGCAAAACAAAATAAAGCTAAGTAAGATAATGCATGAGCAGGTAAGGATTGATAAGTCCAAGTATGTAAAGCCGGCGTACTCTCACAAACCCCGTCCTTACCGAGTATTTGCGCAGCCGCAAGTTCCGGGACGTACACACGCTCTCGTAAAGAGGGCCTCATTGGGGAGGGGGTGTCAAGATAGTAGCGGACGGCGAGGGCGCCACGGACGGGACGGGCAGGGCGCAGGAAGCGCGGGCGCGTAGGGCGCTGACGGGGGGCCGAAACGAGGCCGCATCTAACGACGTCGCGCAGCTCGCCATCACGAGCAGCGTGACGGACGGAATTTGTGCGACGAGCAGCACCAAGCTGGGAGCGACGGCCATGAACGAAAATAAAGTGCAGGCCTAGGCGAACCAGGCTCTGAATACCATGTTAGAATAGCCTTAGTCTTATGAACCCTAGGCTAGAATGGAGTGAGAGATTAGCGAGAGAAGAGAGGGGTTCTCACTATAGCACAGGTACAAGATATAACAAGCACATATGGCTAAGGGAGGTACATCACCAATAGAAACATTTCTACAGTGATACTACACTAACTATATTATATGCAGTTACATAAATAATACAATTCATGACATCCCCGCTTAACTCCATACAAGCATAGTCAGTGAGGGGCGCTCTACCCTAAGTGCAGTCATCACCGTGCCGCAACTTGAACCACCGTGGTTGAACCCCCACTGCAGGTGCCCGGTTGCGGTTGAACCCCCGTAACAGGTGCCGGTGTGCGCGACTCTGGGCGACCACGCCCAGAAACGACGGATAGTAATGAAACGAGAAACGACGAGAACACGTTACGAAACGAGAAAACAGAATAGAAGAAACTCTATTTCTCACTCGCCACCCCCTCACACTCCCCCCCTTCACCTCCAAGCTCCCCTCCCCAAACCAGCAGGTTCGTCTTCCACTCACACCCTCCCCCCCCCACTGCTGCACGTGCGGCAGTGAGAGAGAGAGGAGGGGCGGCAGCTGGTTGCTCACGGGCAGGGCGCAGGGCGCGACGGGTAGGCGCAGGGCGCGACGAATAGGGCGCAGGGCGCAGAGCGTGAGGGGACGGGACGGGCAGGGCGCGATGCGACGGGACGGGCAGGGCTTGACGCGACGGGCAGGGAGACGCAACGGGACGGGACAGGCAGGGTGTCACGCGACGGGACGGGCAGGACGGACGGGACGGATAGGACGAACGGGACTGCAGTGGGGTAGTGCGCGGGCGACGGGCTGCAGCAGGGAAGCGCCCATGAGGCGCACTACGGGGTGCGCCATTGGGAAGCAGTGGGCCCATTATTTAATTTGGTCCTTAGGAAAGACCCGCTCTATACCATGTCAAGATAGTAGATTAGGAGTGGGTTTAGGAGCCATGGCTATAGGAACGAGAGAAGCGAGAGAGAAGTGTCACCAACAAAGAGGAGGTTCACTATGGAGCGAACAGTATAATTAGGCAAGAAACAAGAATGGTGCACCACCAACAGTTCATGGTAGCTACACTAAACTACAGCTACAGGCAGCTACATAAATATATTCCAACAGGGGGGTACTGTAAGGAAAATACATTTTCCATACTTCGCGCCCCCTACTTATCGAGTACGTGACTGTTCCTACCAACAGTACCCAACAGTACACCGTTACCATTTGCGACACTCGCCTCGACTTCTGTTCCCGCCACTGTTCACATCGCGACCCAACCTCACGGCTTGGTTGGTAACCCGCACTCCGGTCCTCCGTCTCGGCAGAACCCAACCTTGGCACTAGGCTCCAGTCCCTTGCATTATCATTACAACTTTAGCTTCTCTATATAATATTCGCTCATTGCTTCGCTCAATGTATTATTCTGCTTCGATAGTGCAATTCTCGCTCGCTCTCTAAATTACACACATAACAGTTTGGCACGTCAGTTACGTAAACTCAACTTCCATTTCTGTGTCCAGTATCGCATCGCTCCTAAAAGTACATTTCATTCCAGATTTCCTCAGATTACGTCCATCTACACTGCGCGCCACCACGTTAGCTACGTTCATTGGCCTCATTCCATTGGCTCAGACTTCATCAGTTGCTTGCGGAGATAGAATCCTGTTGTGGAATGTACCTCCTCGACCAGGGTTACACCCTCGCCTCGATGAAAATCGAAAAGATCAGCCGAGCGGGGCCAACGAATCTTTTTGTGAACGACGCCGCCGCTACTGGGAAAACACAGGGAGCGGAAGGAGCAAGTGCAAATTCTGTTGTGATCCTGTCGCACTGCTGGGGGCGCTTAACACTTACACAAGATTCTTCTGTGCAACAACGATCAGGGGGGGAGAAACTATCTTTCTCTCTCTCCCCCCTTAACACTTACACTCGCTTAGTGCAACAACGCTGGTTTTATGGCTATGTGAGAGGGCTGCGAGAGCTGTTAGAAGTTTGCACTCGCAAACCTGAAACAAGAGCAACAGAGTGTAGAATTATCGACGGTGGAGGGGGATCTGCCAAGAAAAATCTCTTCGTGAAGTTGGGCTGGGTGCACTGAGCGCGCTCCTCCACCAATCAAGGCGAATTCGTGTGAAAATTGCTGTTGTGTCCATTCAATTCTTTCACCCATCACACGACACGACCCGAGACACCACTCGTGATTGCATTACATCGGGAGTGTTTCTAAAACAGTCAGGGGAAGTTCGCGATGACTCGGCGGATCGCCTTGTCGAGATTATCTCATGACGGTATGCGTTGTGCTTGGAATTCTCTTTGTGCGTTCTTATGTCTGGGCGACCGTGTCTCCGCAGTATCTGTGTGCTCGCCTTCGCGTAGATCAAGCCGTTGCGCGGATCTCGTGAACGTCCCGTAACATGGTAACCGAGATCCGTGGTCTAGAAGCGTTCCTTAGCACGGAACGTCGCTAGCGTAGCAAACCGACGCCATTACGTCCCGCGACAGGTTGCGACAGGCTGCGAGGGCCGGATCCGAGTCGGATGCATATGGAGTTCTACGCCGGACCGTCCTCGTCCACTGCCGACAGCAACGGTAGCACCATGCGCCATGGTTTGGTAACGGCAGGTCCCCGCGCTACGAGCTGCAACAGCCCCACGGGTCCACCCTCTCTGCCCCGAACCACCAGCACAGCTGCACACGCCAGCACCGCAGACAGCGACGCACTCAGCAGTGCGATCAGTAGCGGCATCAGCAGCGGCAGTGGCAGCCGTAGCACAATTGTCACTACTGTGAGCAGCGATGGGCCTCGAGTGCCGCTGGTACCCCAGTCAGTCGCACGCCTGGCAGGTGCAACAACGACTGCAGCACCAGCGGCGGCGACAGCGATCCCGCTATCGCCCTTGGCCGCGACGTCGTGGCTTCCCCTCGCGCGCTCCGCGGAGTGCCCCGCGTGCGCCAGCTGCCAGTGGCTGGTGACGCCGGGAAGCAATGATCCCAACACTGCGGAAAGCTCGCCTGCCTTCCCGCTTCCATCATACTTCCCCAGCGTGAGCCCTGCCGGTGTCGCCACAGTGGCCCCCTCATGGCTCTCCCCCCTCTCCTCGCCTTTCCGCCATTCCGAAGATCCCCGCCTCAGCCCCTGCCCCAGCGTCAGCCCTTTGCCGAGCCCCACGCCCAGCTTCGGACCGAGCCACAGCTCCCGACCCAGCTCGTTGTGGAGCCCCAGCGCGAGTCTAAGCCCGAACCTGAGCCCAAGGTCCACGAATAGCACGAGCACGAATAGCAGTTTTGGGGGGAGCATCGGGGGAGGCTTGGGGGCCGGGGGAAGCTGGGCGCAGCGCAGGGCGGGGCGGAGCGGGTTACCCGCTGCGCTGGGGGCTCTGTGGCCGCGGAGCAGCAAGGGGAGGAACGCGGGCGCGGGGAAGGGCTGGCTACCAAGGGGTGGTAGTAGCGGCGGGAGCGGGGCGGCAGCCGCGCGGGGAGAAGCGCCGGGGGCGGAAGCGATGGAGGCGGAGATGGAGGGGCGCGTGGGGGAAGGGCGGGTGCGGGGGGGGAGGATGCGGGAGGGCAGCTTCCATGAGGCGCGGGTGAAGGAGGCGGCATGGGAGTTGGTGGTGGAGCGGCTGAGGAGCAGCGGGGGTGCAACCAGTGGCAGCGGCGGGAGCGGTGGCAGCGGCGGGAGCGGTGGCAGCGGCGGGAGCGGTGGCAGCGGCGGGAGCGGTGGGAGCGGTGGGAGCGGTGTGAGCGGTGGGAGCGGTGGGAGCGGTGGGAAGGATGGGAAGGATGGGAAGGATGGGCGTTGGGATGGCGCTAGGCTGCTTGAGAAGGCAGTGGAGGGGGAGCGGGCGGGCGGAGGCGTGGGAGCAGTGAGCGCGGGCCTGGTGGAGTCGTTGCAAGCGCACTTCCACAGCCTCCCGCTCTCGTGAGTGTTCCCGTTACCCCTTCGTCTGCTGCGCCCGCACTTGTCGCCTCGTGCCTGCCAGTCATCGCGGTCCCAAGGTAGCAAACCTGATGACGTGTTTATTCAATGCTCGCACAGACGCCCACACACTCCTCCCACCACCTCTAACCCCACTCATGCCGCCACCCACTCCCACACTCCCCTCTCGCCCTCCTCCCCCCTCTCTGCAGCTATACGAGTGCGGCGGTGGAGCTGCCCCCCTGGGAGGTGGTGCTCCACAGGGACCTTCTCGCCTCTGCTGCGCGCCTGCCCGCCTGCAAGCCGCCTGTCGTTGTCACGCTGCGCCCGCACCACTGCCCTGCTACTGCCACTGCTGCTGGCGCTGCTGCTGGATCTGCCCCTGGCAGTGGCAGTAGCCGTGCTTATAGTGAGTGCTGTAGGCGTCTCATGGGTAGCGATGCTGCAGGCAGCATCACTACCTGCAGCAGTACAACTGGAGGGGCCAAGGCAGGTGCTGCTGTTGCTGCTCTCGGAACTGACACTGGGGTTGTTGATAGGGCACCAGGGAGTGGTGACAGTTTCAGTGGCACGGGTGGTGTGACTGGAAGGGTTGCTGCCAGTGGCAGTGCGGGGTTGAACGGCGATGGTGGCGTTAACGATGGCGGGCTGTTCTTCTCATGGCAGGGATTTGCTGCGCCTGGGGCTTCAGTTAGTGGGGTGGCAGTGAGTGGGCCGCCAATGAGTGGGGCAACAGTAAGTCGGGCGGCAGTGGGTGGAGCGGCGTTCATGCCTGGGTCAGGGTCGAAGCAGCAGGTGCAGGGGGGAGTGGCAGCAGTACGAGGCGATACAGCAGGTCTGGCAGGACCAGTTTGTCCGGGTGTGGAAGCAGGCGGTAGGGAGGTCGGAGAGAAGGAAGCAGGTAAGGCGAGGGAGGGGGTGATGCGTGGAGAGGGATGTGCAGCGGACGCGGCCGGGGATAGTTGTGGACCAGCATCAGTGAGATCGCCCAGACGAGACTCGTCAGCAGCAGCAGGAGCAGGAGGAGAGTCAGGTCTGTCGTCAGCCGCCGCATTAGCTGCTGCTGCAGCAGCAGCAGCAGCAGAGGGGTCAGGTGGAGAAGCAGCGCAGTGTGGAGCATCGCTGGTGCATGTGGACGTGCGGTTTGCGTGCAACCTGCACGTGTGCTACCCTCTGCTGCTCACTGCGCTGTCACAAGCAGTGCAGGGGGTTGGGGTTGAGCCTTCGCCCAGCTTGCAACCAGACTGGCTGAGCGAGGGGAACAAGGGAATGGGCGGAAATCAGGGGGCCGAGCTACAGCAGCAGCAGCAGCAGCAGCAGCAGCAGGGCGGTGCATCAGTGAAGTCTCCAGTGTGCATGTGCATGCCTCTGCTCACATGGACCGCACGCCCTGCAGGCTGCACCCTTGGCATGACGTCCCTGCTACTCCCAACGGGACCCGCGTGGCAGGACACACTCTCAGCTGCTATCGCTGCTGCTGCTGCCGCTGCTGCAGAAGCTGCCTCTGCACAAGCCACAGCAAGGCTGGCAGAAGCTGGTGCAGCCCCAGGCACACGAGGAGGAGAGGGAGGAGGAAGGGGAGCAGAAATGGACGGGGCGGATGTGGGAGAGGCAGCAACTGGTGGCGCCAGCACCACCAGACGTGGCAGGCATGGCAGGAGCGGCAGCAGCAGCAGCAGGGGCGGCAGCGGCGGCGGCGGCAGTGGAAGCAGCAGCCTACGGCTGGGAGTGGGCATGGGAGGGATGCGTGGCTCTGCGTCCGCGCTCTCGCTCTCTTCCCTCTGGCGCTGGTCAGGGCAGCAAGGGAGCGGCAGGAGGGGCAGCAGCGGGATTTGGTCGCCTCAAGGGGCGTATGGGACTCAGGGGGACGGCAGCACAGGCAGCACTTGCAGCGGGGGGAGTGCGCAGGGTGGGTTCAGCTGGGGGAGAGGGGGGTTCTCAGTGTGGGAGGAGGAGGAGGTGGGCGTTGACCGGAGAGAAGGGGGAGGAAGTGCATTGGAATCACAGAAAGAGGATACGCCTGTGATAGCACTCAGCACTGGTGTAGCGGAACGTGTGGCGCCAAATTCAACTGACACTGCTGCTGCTGCCGCTGCCTGTGCAGCTATTGCTGATGGTAATGCTGCTCCTGATACTGGCTCCTCCACAATTGCAGTTGTTCCCGTCGCTGCTGCCGCAGGTACAGCAGCGTCCGCCAGTGTAAGTGCCGCTGCTGCTGTGCCTGCCAGTAGTGTACAGAGAAGAGGCCCGCTGTCCTTCCTAGGCAGGGGAAGTTCCAGCTGGTCTTCCCGCACAGGCAATAGCAGCAGCACCATCAGCAGCAGCGTGAGCATCGGTAGCAGCAGCAGTAGAGGCTTCAGTGGTAGCTGGGGTGTTGGTAATACCAGCAGCAAAAGCGGTGGCAGTAGCAGTGGCAGCCGCAGCAGCAGCATTGGCGGCGCTGGTGGCGCCAGTGAGTTCGCATCTGCAAGCGACAGCACGAAGGGGGAGTGGGGGAAGGTGTCACAAGCTGCTGCAGAGACGGAAGCTATGAAAGTGACGTTAGGAGCGGCAGCAGCAGGCGTTGCAGCAACATCAGCAGCGTCAACAGCATCAGCGGCATCAGCAGTTGCACTCCCAGAACCAGCTTTGGCAGCGTCCGCGTCCCCTTGTGTGCTTGGCACTGGCCCGCAGGAGCTGCTAGCGCCGTCAATAACCACCCCAGTGGGTGACGGGGGAGTGGATAGTAGACAGGGCCGTGTGGGCGAGGGAGGTGTAGTGGCAGCAGGAGCTGCAGTGGGCGGAGGGCGTGGGTGTAAGGATAGCACAAGGGAGGGTGGAGATGGGGATGCTTCTTCACTGCAGTATGGGTGGGGTGAGAGTGGTGCTGCTGGTCCCGAGGGGTGGGTGAGTGGTGGTGCAGGTGCAGGTAGGCAAGCTGGGAGGGGGAAGGGAGGAGATAAGGGAGGGGGAGAGGTGGGGGTGGGGGTTCCAGGAGCAGTTAGGACGTCTGCAGATGCAGTCAAGGGGTCGAATTTAGCAGCGGATGGAGCAGCAGCAGTGGCAGGAGCAGCAGCAGGAGCAGGAGCAGTGGCAGCAGTGCTTGGTGCATGTGATGCTGATGGGGGAAATGGAGCAACGGCGGGCAGGGAGGGCAACAGGAGCGAACAAGGTGAGTGCGCATCCATGTGCAAAGGCAACAATCTCAAATCCTTGCGTGCTGCTGATTTGTGTGACAGTGCACGCACATCCTCACACACGACTCTTGACTGTGCGCACTCTCCCTGCTGCATGTGGCTCTTCCATTCTGCAACCCCACTGCACCTTGCTGCATCCCACTTCTCCTATTTGATAAGCAGGAACATGTGTGGGGCGGAAAGGGATTGTCACAGGTTGTTCCTGCTTGCTGCTCATCTGCAGCTGTTGCTCTTGCGTCTGCTAATGCTACTGCTGCTGCAAATTACTGGCGCTATCACTCCCATACCTTAGTTTTCATCAACCCTGCTGCCTCCCAAATCCCCCTTCTCCCCCCCTTCCACATTCCTCTCTCACTTCACTTCCTTCCTCACTTCACTTCCTCCTTCTCCTCGTTCATCTTCTCCCCCTCCTTCCGCCCCTCTCCGTTTTCCCACCCACCCACCCCGTCTCTCCTCCCTTCCCCCCCCTCACAGGTCTCGTGCAGCTGTTACTGTCAGAGCGCGGCCTCATGAGGGAGCAGCTGGGCCACTTCCTGCTCGACCCTCTGCGCCTCGACCTCGGCCCGCTCATCGCAACGGGTGCCTCGGGGGAGGTGCGCCGAGGCAGGTACGCTGGCGAGCCCGTGGCTGTGAAGATTCTCAAGGGGGAGGCCAGGAGGGATGGGGTTGTGGCGGGGATTGGGGGTGGGGCGGGAGGAGGAGGGGGTGCAGGTGTGGGTAGTGGACGGGGAGGTGGGAGAGGGAGGGGAGGTCGGAAGTGGGGAGCCAGTGCAGCTGCTTCTGCTACTTCTGCTTCTCCGGCTACCGCTACTGCTGCTGTTTCGATTGCTGCTGCCAGTCGCACTGAGATCCCAGGCGTTTCAAGCCCCAGCATCACCAGCAGCAGCGGTGGTGGAGCTGCCGGCAGCAGCAGTGCGACAGCACGGGCGGAGTTCCGGAGAGAAGTGATGGCGATGGTGTCGTGTGGGCAGCGGTGCCCCCAGCTGCTGCGCTTCTACGGCGTGTGTGTGGACGTGCGGCGCCGCATGTGCATCGTCACCAAGCTCATGCCGGGTGGCACTCTGCACGACCTGCTGAGGAGGAGAAATGGTGTGGGCCTGCCGCTGCCGCAGCTACTGCGTGTGGCAATGGACATTGCTTTGGGGATGCGCTTCCTGCACTGCCATGGAATCATTCACCGGTGAGTGGGTGTGATGAATGGACGCGAGTGGGGTGTGCGTGTGGGTGGGCAGGAGAGGGGAGCAGGGCGGCAAGTGGGCGGGTGTCTGATCTTGGATGGGGTCACTCGTGGTTGGCCCGGGCGAGAAATAGAAAGAGAGAAAGTAGCCATCCAGAATGAATTTGTTTTTTTTACCTTGTGGCTCCTGGCCCATCAGTGGCTTCCATTCCCCCGCTGCAACCATTATCCGTTCCAGCCCACCTCATCCCTGATTCCAGCTTCCGCTTCCCAACTCTCTCCACTCCCCCTACCCTCCTTCCTCTCCACTCACACATCTTCCATTCCTACAGCCAACCTTCCTGTCTCCACCACACCCCTCCCCGCCCTCCCTCTCACCCCAGCGACCTCAAGACGGCCAATGTACTATTGGACGAGCACGGGCGGGCAGTGGTGGGGGACTTTGGAGTGGCGCGGCTGGTGGGAGACGGAGCGGAGATGACCAAGGAGGTGGGCACATACCGCTGGATGGCCCCTGAGGCCTTTGGCACCACGGGGCACTGGTCTGTCACCCCTCGCAGCGACGTCTACAGCTTCGGAATTGTGTTATGGGAGCTGCTGACTGCACGGTTACCGTACGAGAGTTACTCGCCGCTTCAGGCTGCAGTGGCAGTGGCGCTGAATGGGCTGCGGCCGGCGATACCAGCGGGGTGCCCTGAGGGGCTCAGGCGGCTGATTGAGGCGTGCTGGGCCAGGGACCCTGCTGAGAGGCCTGACTCAGAGGATGTGGTGCGCGTGGTGCGAGGATTGAGGCAGGAGTTGCTGGGGGAAGAGAGTGTGGAGGACGAGGAGACTAGTGGGGGGGATGGGGAGCAGGTTGTGAGTGGTAGGGAATGAATGCATGGCATGATGCGGAGGAGAGGAGGTTAGAAGCGAGAAGGCATCTGAGGAAGCAGAAGTACCATAAATGGGGAAGGCCGGTACATGGTAACCACAGTACCAGCTAGAGTGATCGAAGGGGCATCAAGTGACGCACTGTAGCTGATTTTCGTGGTTATGAGTTGCTGTCAAAACTAGTCTCCTACTCCCACTGTGTGCCTGGTCTTGCTGCTGCTTTGCCCAGCTGTGGTGGACCTGTTTTTGAGTTGCTTCTTTCCAGGGGGGCTCTGATAATCGGAAATGCATGGCACAAGACCCGGAGTTAGGGAGTATTCCTATCCTCGTATCAAGAGTGTTGGAATTAAGGTTAGTTCGGGTTGCTCCAATAAACATATGTAGTGGTTGTCAACAGGAGTAGTGTTTGGCCTCGTCCTTGCTTGGGCGGAGCCGACTTCGTGGTCGGGTATGAGGGGTGCAGCCGACCTACAGCAGTGGGCGGGCTGGTCGACAGGGCTGGACGACCTGCACGGGGGCCACTGCAAGTGTGGTCGACTTGGGAGGTCGACCTGACTGTGTGGTCGACTTGGGAGGTCGACCTGGCTGTGTGGTCGACTTGGGAGGTCGACCTAGCAGGGTGGTCGACTTGGTAGGTCGACCTGGCAGGGCGTCGACTTGGTGACGCCGACCTGATGAAGCCGACGTGGTGCGGTCGGCTGACAGGAGTGCTGGTCGACCTGGACCTGGACCTGGTCGACCAGGAGTGTTGTCGACCTGGAGCTGGTCGACCAGGGGGTGTGGTCGACCTGGTGAGGTCGACCGAAGGTGGTCGTCGACCTGGGTGGTCGACGGGCACGAGAAGGAGTAGCTGGTCGACATGGTTGCCTAGTCGACCAGGTTACCTGGGTGACGAGGTTCTGCGAAGGAGTGCGACGGTCGCCCAGACGGTTTTGGCGAGTCCGACCTCGGTGGTGGTATCTCGAGGTCGACGTGGCTGATCAGATGCAGTCGTCAGCACGAGGTTGATTTGGTGTGTGCGCTGTGCAGGTGACAAGGCACGGCACGCCAATCATCTGCAAGCACCTGCGAAGCAGGTGCGCTGCTGTTCTGCCAACCTGCGATGTTGACACGCCGTCGACTTGCAGTGTTGGCAAGCCGCGACTTTGCACTGCTGGAACGCGGTCGACCAAGTCGTGCTGGAACGCGGTCGACCATGCTGCGCTGGCGGTCGTCCAGCTTGCATGCTAGCTGTGATGTAGTCTTGTCTTGCCAACTTCCCTGTACCATTGTTGTCAACTTTCTCTAGTGAAACTCTTGCCAATTTACCCCGTGAACTAGCAAGCAGTGTGTGTACTAGGAAAACGACTAAGGACCAACGAATGCAGAGATCACACGAGCACCCGTGCCTAGCCCGTAGTCTAGCTCCCGTTGTAGTACTTATCTCCGCTTGGTGCGATGAGCGTGGACGGCACACGACTTACCTTTCAGTCAGGTCGACCTAGTGGTCACTTACCTATTGTGTTCGTAGGCCGGCAGCTGTGCGAGTCACCACCATGGTTGGCGTAGGTGACGCTGGTGTTGTAGACACCATGGAGGCACGGCTGGAAGGGGCGAGGAGACGTCATGAGGCGAAGGAGTTCGGCGACCTCCCGTGGGCAGTCGTCGAGGCTGGCATCCGTGCCGTGTGGGCGACAGAGCACCCTTCTTCTCGGCCTGCTTCTCCTCGACCGGTGAACATCGAGGGCGGCGTCGACGCGGGCGTCAACGACGAGGGTGGCCAAGTCGGCAGCAGTGCGGGAGGCACGTCGAGGCAGCGTGGTGTGATTCATGCCGATGAAGTCGGCGGCGTTCAGGCGCGAGGGGTGCAGTCGTCGGCGGCTGCAGGCTCCTCACAGGGCGACGTCGGAGGTCGACGAAGCAGATTGTCGCCGATGTCGGCGACCCAGGTGACGGCGAGCGGGATTGCACCGAGCTACGGCTACTTCAAGTTGACGCCGGACAGGATCTTGGTCACCCCGCCGCTCGTTGGTCGACCAGACATTCTCACCTGGAAGGAAGCCATCGAGCCCCAACTGGAGATGGCCGGGCTGATAAGCTTTGCTCGAGGCACCGTTGTGACGCCGGACGACCCCGACTTGCGTGCGGAGTTTCGCGCCGTGCATCTGTTGACCTTCACGGTCATCTCGCGGTGCTGCTCGCCGGGAGTGCAGATCGCCTTGAAGTGGTGCCGAGAGTACCTCGACGCCGGCCACCAGGCGTGGCACTTCATCGAGTCGACCTACCAAGTCACCGACGACTTGTTCATCGCCCAGCTGGAGGGGCAGCTGACGCACCTGCGTATGGGCGACGAGGAGACGGCGACCGACTACTGCAACCGGGCCCGGCAACTTCTCGCCACCATCAGGATGGCCGGCGCGCAGTACTCGACGGCGTCGTACGTCACCCATGTCATGCAGGGACTCTCGAGCAGCTACAACCTCCTGAAGCGGCTGTCAATGGCGCCGAGCACGAGGGCGACGCTCAACGAGGACAACTTGACCTCGTACATCCTGCAGGACGAGGCGATGCAGGAGGCTGAGCGGTCCCAGGAGCTCCTGGGGCAGGTAAACTACGTCGCCACGGCGAAGCAAGGTGGTCGACCAGGGCAGCGTGGGCAGTCCAGCGGCGGTGGTAGCAGTGGCTGGAAGTCGACCGAGGATGCCGACAAGAAGAAGTCGACCAAGGAAAGCGGCCGTGGAGGAGGAAGTCGACGTCGTGAGTGCTGGCTGTGCGGCGACCCCGACCACCTCTCCTTCGAGTGCCCCGACCGCAGTGACTCCGACGACGACGACGCCAAGGCAGGCCGTGGGAGGTCTGGCAGTCGTCGCCCACGTCGAGGAAACCAGCCGCACAAGGAGAAGCAGTCGACCAAGTCAACCTCGGCGAAGGACGCCGACTCCTCTGCTGGCGGCAAAGGGCGAGACGACAAGGAGGCGTCGTGCTCGCTGGTCGGCGTGGTGGAGCCGACCGTCTCGCTAGCGCCGGAGGCTGGCAAGGACTTCCAGGCGATGGCGGCAGCTGTGCAGGCAAACCCGTCGGTGGTCCTGCTCGACAGCGGCTGCTCCCACCACCTGATGGGGACGAAGGACGTCTTTGTCGACCTGCAGCCGAGCGGCACCATCAAGCACGTGCGCGGCTTCAACGGGGCGCTGCAGGACGTCCAGGGTCGTGGCACTGTCGCCCTGGAAGGGGAGGCCGGAAAGCAGGTGCTCATCCCCACCGTGCTCTACGTCCCGGGCGTGCGGTCGAACTTGCTATCGGCTGGCCAGCTGAAGGAGAACGGCGTGAAGCTGCAGGAGGACGGCGACGGAATGTTGCTCGTCTCAGCGGCAGGCGACGTCCTCGGTCGGGCGTCCTTCACCGGGCGAGTCCTCTACACCGACCTGCGTCCCTGCTTGGCGAAGTCGACGTCGACCTCAACGGAGGTCGTGGCCCTGCGGGCGATTGTCTCGGCAACGAAGTCGACGCCAGACAGGCTGCATGCAAGGCTCGCGCACGCCAGCATGGACACCATCCGGAGCTCGGCAAAGCAGAGGTCGCCATCGGGCTGGACCTCAAGTCGACGTCCGGCGCCGACTCACCGTGTGTCTCGTGCGTTGGCGGGAAGTTGGCGCGGCACACCTTCCCCGACCAGGGCTCCGACGCCGACGACGTGCTGGCCGTCGTGCACATCGACTTGTGCGGGCCATTCCGAGTGGCTACCAAGGACGGCAGCCTGTACTTCTTGTTGCTGAAGGACCGCAAGACCCGCTACGTGTGGGTGAGGCCGGTCGCCAAGAAGTCGGATGCGCTGCAGGAGTTCGTGCAGTGGCTGGCGGTGGCTGAGCGGCAGACGACGAAGTCGGTGTTGATGCTGCGCTCTGACCGGGGAGGGGAGTTCCTCAGGAAGCAGTTCACCGACTTCGTGAACGGCAAGGGGATCATCCATGACCTGACCTGCCCGTACACCCCGCAGCAGAACGGCATGGCGGAGCGGGAGATGCGGACGGTGGTGGAGTCGGTGCGGACGATGCTGCTGCACATGGGCGTGCAGCACCACTGGTGGCACCTCGCTCTGCGGCAGGCCGTCTGGGTCCGCAACTGCCTTGAGAGGTCGACGCTGCCGCCGGGGACGACGCCGTACCAGCTGCTCACCGGGAAGAAGCCCGACATGTCGCTGGCCCGGGTTTGGGGCTGCATGGCGCAGTTCTTGGTCCCCGAGCAGCAGCGTGGTGGGAAGCTGCAGCCGAAGGCCAGGTGGGGCCTTCACCTCGGCGTGTCGGAGGAGAGCAAAGGCTGGGAGCTCCTCGACATCGCCGACAACCGGGTGGTCACCACGTCGGACGTGGTGTTCTACGAGAACATGTCGCTGGAGGTGTGGAAGTCGACGCACGGGCCGGCGTCGGGACGGACGCCGACCACCCCACCGACGGACACCTCGACGGCGACACTCCCTCTGCTCGCCGAGGTCGGTGAGCTTGCTACAGAGGACGTCGAGGGTGCCCCCTTGTCTTCCCCTGACCCTCCTGCCCCTCCCCTCGAGGCCGACTTGCGTGGGCTGACTCCGGCGTCGGCCTCCGGCGATGAGAGGAGCAGTGGGGCGTCGCCTGTGGCGCCGACCAAGAGCATCGCCGGTGGCCGACGTGACATCCCGCAAGTCGACATGAGAGTGAAGTCGACGTCTGTAGGGGAGGAGCAGGTCGAGGAGTTGGAGAGGCCGACTTTGGTGAAGCCGGCAAAGAGGGCATCAGCAGGGCAGCAGCCAACAGGGGAGCAGGCAACCACGACGCCGACAACAGAGCAGTCGGCAACTGGGGAGTCGGTGAGGAGGCCGACCACAGGGGAGAAGTCGGCGGGGAAGCCGACCGAGGGGCAGCAGGTCGACGAGGGCGAAGCCGGTGACGATGAAGTGGACGCCGGGGACGCCGAGGAGTCCACCGACAGTGACGTGGTGGAGGTCCAGCCTGGACCACGGCTGAAAGGTCGACTTCGGAGGCCGCCCG